TTTACTAAATTTTTGTCTTATTTTACTTTCTACTCGAAAACTATCTTCAAAGCTACAAACTAAGGAACACTTCACACAGAACGGGTGAAAACATATCGTTTTGTTCGAATAAAGGCAACAGTAGTATACCGCTGTTCGAAATTCATAAATCGATTGAGAAAAAAACAAATCCGGGTTGCAAACTAAAACTGAGGGAAACACATCAAATATAAGAGGAGAACTACGACACAACAGAAACACAAAATTAAATTGTAACACACACAGAAAGCTTTTCTATTTTATCACTAGTATACCAATTTTGAACTTAATTGGCTCTTAAAAGTCTGAACAATCAATTATTAAGTCATGTTAGGTCTTTCAGTTAACTTATAGACTAATTCATTGGGACGAATTCATTACTGTTCAAACAATTCGCTATTAGTCAATTAAGATCTGCTCAGTCCATGTTCAGACTGTTCAGTGGTTGTTATTCATTTGTACAAAACAAAAATATACTGAATTGTCTGAACAGCACTATATTCAATTAGAAAATAACTCGAACTCGTAACAAGACTTAACGTTTTTTTTTTGTGTTCAGACTTTTCAGATGATATTAAGATCAAAATGACCGTTAAAGATTAAAATTAGTTTATTATTGATTGAAATATGATTTTTTTCCTCAAACAGGCAAATGAACAGAAATTTATCGTATAGTAAGTCATGAATGTATTTTTTTCTTTGCATTTTTCCATATTGTATATCAAAATTTTAAGGAAAATCATCGAAGAATCTCTTCTACATCGTATGCCCTTTAATAGGAAAATCTGAAAATTTTAGTTATAAAAGGTATTCAATCTACTTTTGGGGGGGGGGGGGGAGGGATGGGGGATGGGGGGATGTTACTGTGGTTATTAGTAAAAGTATAACTTATCTTGGGCTGGAGAGAACCATGTTAGAATACCTTGAAAGAAGAATTACAGATTCACAATCACATATTCACGCAGCAGTACACGACATACATTTTTTTGTACTATCTGTTGAATGGTGGAGGAAGAACAACAGGAATCACTTCGGAAGGAAGATGATAAAAGGAAGCATGAAAAAATCAAACAGAATGAGGAAAGAAGGTTGAAGGAAGAACAGCTAAATAAAAAAAAACTCCAGGTGCATGACAAAAACAAAGAGGAAAGGAAGGAACAGGAGAAAGAACAAATGAAACGGGAAAAGCAAACACAGAGCTCAAGGAACTCCGAGTCTGAGAAGAGAAGAAACAGGAAACAGGAAACAGGAGGAATAAAAGTTTAAGCAACTTCAATTGCAAGAAGAAACACTAAGACAACTGCAAACTGAGAAAAAGAGTAGCAAAGAGCAGTTAGCACACGAAGAAAATAAATAGTGAAAGATAAACTCTGAATAAGGAACTAAATGAACAGGCATGTCAAATCCTGAGAAAAGTTGGAATGCCAATTTCCCTAGCTATAAGTCGAGACTCGGAGAAATAAGAGTTAGTAACGCTGATAATTATTCAAACTCTTGTAAGATGATCAGCAAATACCTTGAAAAGAAATGACACAAGAACAGGAATAATTCAATTGGGAATATACAAGCATTGCTTTAGAATTAAACTCTTCAAAACAACTTCATTTCTCGAAATATTGAAATACCACTTCTTGGTTTTATCAGGGACAAAAACATCGACAGCAAACGAAAAGAACACAATCGAACATAGTGTTAAAAGTGACAAACAAGACAAATCAACATTACAGATGTTAACAATGCTAGAAACAACTTTCAGCAAGAGGGACAAGTCAAGTTTCAAGGTTGTACCAAATATAAGGGGGTTGACATTACATCAACTTAAATATAAGTTTTTAAGTTATGTTGAAATGAGGAGGATAATTATCCAGTTAATTAAATGATTAATGCGTACAACATTTGCAGTGAAATGATTTTTTTTTTATTTGTTTACATTTGTTGCGGCAGGGGATCTGTGTAATTTCTTATAGTTTACATATTCCATTCAAAATAACAATTAACTCCAGTATTGAGAACGATTTCTTGAAACCAAATATCAACTTTATATCACTTCTATACCTTGTTTACAACGGGTAAACACATCATGACAGCTCTTCACTAACCAGCAATTTTGTCTGTCATTTTGTGGAGAATGAAACATCAATTTCTATCTCTAAATACATATTCGTACCTTTGATAATTAATCTAGTAAAGCATTTTTAATTTAACAGATTTAATATTTTATGGTTATACACTGAAGGACACAAATATATTATAAATATTCTGATTGAGGTGATGAACTGTGTTTTATATAATTCACGTACGTATGTACTTGCGCATATCGTGTGCTAAATCAATGCGTATTTCAAGTTATTTAATTGATTAGATGACCCCTTTAGCATTGTTTTAATATGTTCAGTTTAAGGACAATCACCGGACAACTTAAGCTGATTTAAATTCAATGTATGTGAAAGCACAAGTATCAATTGGTTCTGTGACACTTACCAATTTTGTAAAGAAACGCACAAGCACATAGTCCAAAGTTCTGCTGGTGACGAAGGAACAATTTGCACACTTTAATAATTGTAAAGAAAGCAATAACAAGCTTTAGGTGAGCATTAGGATATATAATGAAATATTGTTAGTCGTCTTTGATGACCTATCTCAAACTACGTCAGACACCACACATATGAATTTAGGCTGCATATTCAGTTTACATGAACTTTTTATACTACTAATAGTATTGTCAGAAATGCTTTTTTGTGTCGTATTATTTTAACAGTTCAACAAATAAAACTGTTAACAATGACCAGGCACACCAATAAACTATAACTGTAGACTGTTTTCTTTGGTGAGCTTTTTAATCAATCTTGGATACATACAAAAATAATATTCATTTACACTTGTGAAACTAAATAGTTGCTGGAGAACACTCGTTCAAAATCAAAAACGGTAAAAAACTTAGTTAAAGAGAGACGAAAGATACCAAAGGGACATCCAAACTCTAAAGTCGAAAACAAACTGACAATGTCATGGCAAAAAACGAAAAAAGACGATCAGACAAAACACAACCTAGAAAACTAAAGACTGAGCAACACGAACCCCTCTTAAACCGAGGGTGATCTCATGTGCTCCGGAAGGGTAAGCAGATCCTGTTCCACTAGTGACACCCGCCGTGTTGCTCATGTAAGAACAAATCTGGTGATAAGTCTAATACGGTAGGTCACATTCGAGGAAAAGAGTAACAAATATTGCAACACACCAATACGGTAACCGTTTAGTACATAGATATTAATCAATGTCATAATTATTCAATTGAGGAGAAAATACTCTTCGTAGAAAATTGATAAATTCTTGAATTACAATGTGAGACAATGGGAGGTTCTATTTAAATAAAAAGTATTATCGAATAACCCACATCTTTGTCTTTCAAATACCCGATCACTATCAGAAGAAAGCAAATAATTGATATAAAGACTTATGCATGTGGAACACGGGTAAATGTTAAGCTGCCGAATTCTGAACAACTTAAAAAAAAAATTTTGCATGAAACTACTACTTAAAATTAAATTTGAATTTTCCTGAATTTTACTTTAAAATTGACGAAACAAATCAATACGTGATCAAAGTTACACCACAACATGGATAACGACAATCTGCTATTTAAGGACTTTATGTTTTCTTTTCTACTCACTTTTTCTTGACATCATATCCAAATATTGATAAAAATATAGTTATTTTGATTTTATTTGTTCAAAAGATTGTTTAACAAGAGGCTCTCAAGAGCCTGAATCGCTCACCTGTATTTCAGAGGAGAAGATTTTTAGATGTTAGCAAACTTGATGAACAAATTGTGTAAAATTGTCTTTAAAGGACAATAACTCCTTAAGGGGTCAATTGACAATTTTGGTCATATTAACTTTTTTGTAGATCTTACTTTGCTGAACATTATTGCTGCTTACAGTTTATATATATCTATAATAATATTCAAAATTATAACAAAAAACTGCAAAATTTTGTTAAAACTACCAATTCGGTGGCAGCAACCCAACAATGGGTTGTTCGATTCGTCTGAAAATTTCAGGGCAGATAGATCTTGACCAATTAAACAATTTTACCCGTGTTAAATTTGCTTTAAAAGATTTAGTTTTTGAGATATAAGCCAAAAACTGCATTTGACCCTTTGGTTCTATTTTTAGCCATGGCGGCCATGTTTGTCGATGGATACAAACTTCGGATACAATTTATAAACAAAATACCCTAAGGAACATTTAGTTGAAGTTTGAAGGTAATTGGCCCAGTAGTTTCAGAGGAGAAGATTTTTAAATGTTAGCAAACTTGATGAACAAATTGTGTAAAATTGTCTTTAAAGGGCAATAACTCCTTAAGGGGTCAATTGACAATTATGGTCATATTAACTTTTTTGTAGATCTTACTTTGCTGAACATTATTGCTGCTTACAGTTTATATATATCTATAATAATATTCAAAATTATAACAAAAAACTGCAAAATTTTGTTAAAACTACCAATTCGGTGGCAAAAACCCAACAATGGGTTGTTCGATTCGTCTGAAAATTTCAGAGCTGATAGATCGTGACCAATTGAACAATTTTACCCCCATATCAGATTTGCTCTAAAAGCTTAAGTTTTTGAGATATAAGCCAAAAACTGCATTTGACCCCTATGTTCTATTTTTAGCCATGGCGGCCATATTTGTCGATGGATCAAAACTTCGGATACAATTTATAAACTAGATACCCTAAGGAACATTTAGTTAAAGTTTGAAGGTATTTGGCCAAGTAGTTTCAGAGGAGAAGATTTTTGAAATAGTTTACGACGACAGACGACAACAGACGACAACAGACGACGACGAAAGACGACGACGAAAGACGACGACGACAGACGACGGACGACGACGGACGCCAAGTGATGGCATAAGCTCACATGGGGCCATTCGGCCCCCGGTGAGCTAAAAATGATATCCATAAACAAAAATATCGGAAATAAATATTTTATTTTTATTTTTTAATTAACAGACGTCACAATCTTTGGTAATCGTGTTACTGATATAACACATTTTGATTAATATCTATATTGTTTATTAAAGCGATGAAATATTAAAGCATAGTCATCTTGTCAAAATAGTGGAAGTAATGAGCATTCATCCATTCAATAAACAAACAGAAATAACTTTACAAACATATAATGTGTATTCTTGACAAACGGCTATGGTTTTGCTTGTTGGTTTCTTCATTCACGGATGAAACATTCCTATTGTGGGATAAAAGACTGCTTAAGCAGGTTTAAAATTAAGTAAGTGAAATCTCGATAAATGATTTCACGTTCTATAATATATCAAGTTTCTTTATTTACAGTTTTGATGATATCACTCCCCGCAATCGGTTTAAGTTTTCTTGGATATTTGTTTGGTTTGTATTGAAAAGAATCTGGTCTGTCAACTGAATAATCCATTATTTTTTGTCTAAATCGGTCAGCACGACATGTTGAACTACTGTCTATAAATCTAAACTCGTTTGTATATTTTGTAAGTGTTTTGTTTCTCTGTAAGGCAAATTTATCATTACATTGAGATGACTGCATTCCTGTTTCTGAATTCATTATGTGAGATTGACAACCGGAAGTTATAAATCCGTCAGAATTCTTAGGCCTTGCAAAGGAACAAGATGAATGATCTGGTGACTTTTGTGGAAATTGTCTTTCATTATTCCTATGAATTCTCCTGTGCATGTCTGCTTTTGTTGTCGTTTCCTTAAAACCACCTGTCGCCCTTTTGATAGTATATATGTCAATATTTGCGACTTTGTCATCTGGTATTTCATAGCTTCTGTCGTTTGGAATTCTAGACATTGGTTTTAATTTTTTGCCAGAGGTATGAGGGCCCGTGGAATATATTTCTGAAGATAAACAATTATTTTGAATCGTCTTTCTCTGCAAGCTGTCCACTGGTTTTCTATGACTCAAAATTTTTGATTTTGTGCTTTTGTCAATCATTCGCCCAGAATCTAATGTGTTAAACATGTTTTTTGTTTTATTTTGATTATGATCATTTTTGTTTATTTGCTCGTCGTGAGATGAAGGAAAGATATCTCTAGAATTGTCATAAAAGTATTCTACTATATCAATGTCTTCGAGCGCTCTATCCAAGTCAAAAGGTTCGACACTTTCGGTTGGTTGAACAAGTGTTTTATTTTTTACGTCATTTGAAGACAACTCGCGATCACCATACGACGTCTTTGGACGCAAAGCACTACATTTTCTCATATCTTCATAATCTTGTTTGTAGTGGTACCCACCAGCATCAGATGAACTGTCTGTCAATGGTCTTCGTTTACCAGGACCTGCAGTTTTTGGTCGTTCAGGAATTGTATAAGTTGAAATGTCATCATTTGGTAAACCACCACCGAATGCCATTTTCATTGTATTTTTTGACAATACCAATGACGTCATTTTCTGGTATTTGCCTATTTTCATTCAATTACTCAGCTTCTTGTGGCAAGAATTGCGGTTTGATCTATAATTAGAAATAAAATATCGAGTTAACAAATTTAATTCTGATACGGTGTTAAAAAACGTGGTTTCAAAATAATTATTTATTTTTAACTCTCCCCGTCTTACTTGCTCAATACTTACTGTTCTAGGCTAGTCTGGACTGTTTTAATCATTTCCTCATAGTATCTCCATTTGTTCATGTAAAAAGATTTATAACATTGCATCCTATACCACAGGATTTCATCAGATGATAAAATGATTACACTTACACAAATCGTTATAATCTATATATAATATTTATAAAAAAAAAGGATTTCTACTCGAAACAATAGACATGATTCAAATTGTGCTGTGGCCAACGATATATATCATTTTATTAATTCTCTTCCTGATCAGATTGCAATTTTCTAAATGGCGACAGGAGCTTTGATTATTATGTCTATGTGACCCTTACTAGAAAAAAGATCGACATATAGAATAAAAAGTTGTGTTACCATGACAACGTAGCAAATATTTAGTAAATGTTTATCTTTTGTGACCAAGGTAACGGACGCATCTTTGGTTTTCTCTAATTAATCAGGGATAACATAACGAGAATGAAACTAGTTAGGTTATTTTTAATACACTGTTGACCCGGGAGAACTGAAGATAAAGGTTGATAAATAGAGTAACTCTAATCAAAATGAATTAATGTACTTATAATTCATGAGTTGAAAAAGGTTATAGTCTTCCAATAATAAAATTGATTGAAAAGGCAGATATATTTATGTTGGTCTTTTTTGTTGACTTCGATATAAATAAAATTGTAAATTGAGGTCATCGAATGACATATATAATGACCGATAATGAATGGTTTCACGAAAATACGAAGTGCGATATTTAATGCCAACAGAATGCGTTAGATAACAAACACAAAAGCTTATACCTACAGTAATTAAGTTATTTATTTCTTGTATATGTTCCTTATGCTTGAGATTAATTTCATTTTTGAAACTACCAACTTTCTTTGTTTTTAGGCTAACCAAAAGTAAATTAGTCGCGTTTTAGTGAAAGCTATCAATTTGTAATAAACAAAATAACGCAAGTGAAAATTTTGTAAAACGGTACCAAAGTTATAACAAGTCGGAGAATTACAGACAATACCCAATATGAAAAACAACTACTGTTTAATTTTAATTTTAAACGTAAAATGTTTTATTTGTTTTTAGTTTCATATCAGTCAGGTAGAAACTAAAAATGTATAAGAAAGTCATTAAAAGACTTTTAAAAAATTGTTGTGGCTTTGAAAAATTACATAAAACAAGAATTTCAGAGTACACTGGAAGGGAATAAATTGGCTCCAACAAGAATTTGTGTAAAAATCAGATGGCATGTTTACCTTTTGTTCAGTTTCGTAAAAGCTGCTGACATTATTTGCCTTACCCTTTAAAATAATCCAAAAAATCCTTATTTGGCTAGTGCAATTAAAGAACATTTTTAGTTTACCGATGTTTAAATCTCATGAATCAATAAGAAGATACAAATTATTTTTTTAAAAATAGTAAATACCAGAAATCAACGTGATCAGAAATTCGCAAAGGACGAAGGGATTAAATAAACACAATTTGTTGTTGGAGAGCCTTTTCAGTAGTTTACAGAGAGAAATGATGGAGATATATTTCACAACCCTGTGAATTATGCTAAATCAAAAGAAGCATATCGTGCACATAATTATATTTGTTTATAATCAAATTTACTGTATGTCTTGCTACTTGAATTAAAAAAATATCGAGATGTTTGCCAAATGAAGTAAAGTATAGTATAATCGGTCTTTTGCATTTTATTTTGGCTATATGACTTTAATCAAAATTATTTTACTTAAAAATAGATAACAAAAAGATTTCTTTCTTAGTTGCACATTTCTCTTCGCATGAAACAAATAAAGTCATCATCAACATTCCATTTTAATTTTAACTGCAGTAAAAGATTGTAGTTCTAAAAAATAAAATATGCCATCTACGGACTCATCAGAGTTGCTTTCACTGCATGTATATAATATTTAGTAAGCATTATATTGTTACAACATAAGTTTGATTATAGTTAGCTTTCACTTAATTTAGACATAGCCTACGATAATAGCAAATTAAAAATATGTATAATTTTAAAAAGTTAAACTTACTGTTAGCTCCGTTATTATCCTCTGTTTTATTAATTTCTAAAATATGATTCTGAATTTATATTTGATATTGATATTGATTTTTGTCATTCGCCTACCTGTTCATTTCAGTAATTTGATTCTGCTTTGTTTTAACGCTTCCTCGAATTTACTATGGAGTATTGATGTATTATACAATCCGTTTTATCTGTCAAATACTATTTTAAAATAGGCGTCGCCCAGGTAGCTAGATCTGACTATACAATATAACTATAAGGAGATGTGGTATTAGTGCCAATGAAACAACAATCCATTCAAATAAAGTAGAAGTAAGCAATTATAGGTCACCGTACATAGTTCACTAGAACCATACTTCGGTTTATGGTTGGGTTTTTTTTTCAGTTAAATTGTATGAGACAGTTTTGATATTATATAGGTCTCACGAGACATTGCACTTTGCTGCAATTTGCAATTAAAGCGCTCACTTAAAGGAAAATAAATGAGTTTTACTATCTTCAATGTTCTAGTGGTCTGAATAAGACAATTAGGTTTACTTAAAGGTTAAAATTTAAATATCTGTTGATGTGATATTTGTTCAGTAAAATGAAGTTAATTGGATATAAAACAAATTCGGTCAAAAATGGGAAAAATTATAAATGATGCACAAATGAACATTATTTAAAGTAATTCTGTCATACCATTCCTATTTTAACTGTTAGAGATTTTGCGTTGACAATATTGTTATTTCTAATGACAGACTAAACAACATGTAACTGGGTATACGTAACACACGGAACAAACACTTCAGCAGTTGAATATTTGACCGCAAATTTACATGTTAAGCGTTGTCTAAACACGAGCAATAACATGTTCATAACCATAAAAGATTTTACGGCAAAATATCATGTTTCATCACGTGACTGCTCAGACACGTATAAATAGTTGTAGAATTGTCAAAAAGGTACTATTTTTGGTCCACACTATTCTTGCTTTTCTCCCGAAATACGCCAAATCACATAGTCACTACCAAGTATACAACAAGTAAGTTAAACTAATTGTTGTTGATATCTGACGGAAAAAGGTGTAACAAAATACCGAACTCCAAGGATTATTCAAAAAGGGGAAGTCCATAAAACCTGACAAATTCAAGTGTTATCAACCAACGGAACGAATGAAAAACAACTGTCATATTCCTGACTTGGTACGGTTATTTTCAGAAGAAAACCTGGCCTTGCGGTCATAAAACTTTCGAGCACGATTTTCGTACTCGTACTCAGATATCAACCAATCAAAATCCTGGATTTGGTGTTTCGAGCAAAAATTTTGTACTCCGAGTACTGAGTAAAGTTTTATGACCGAGAGCCCTGATCTTATAGCTAGCTAAACCCCACTTGTAACTTGAGATTAACTGAGGACTTTATACATGTTACACTTTGCTTTTTACCGTTCAAATATAGCAACTACGAGAAGAAGGCAATACTAGTATATCTTAATAATTACATTAATAATGTTTCGTAAGGTTTACATCATTTTGTGATCAATAAAGTGGTGTTTTGAGGTTGTTTTTTTTTTTATCTCAAATAAAACGCAACATCCATAGCGGCTCGTGCTCTTAAAGACAACGTTACAACAATGCGTATGAATATATAAACCATAACCAAAAGCCTGATCTCGTAATTTCCTGCTATATCTTTAGAATGTAATAAGAATTAAATTTTATTTTTTGCAGTTGTATTAGGCTGTAAAAATGCTAACTGTGTACAAATATTTAATATGAAGTGCTTCGGACCTTCATACGAAACAGTATTAATAACAAATACCGAACTCCAAGGTAAATTCAAAAGCTGGAAAGTCCATATAACCTGCTAAAATCAAACGCTCGATTATTATGGAAACGAACGAATTGAAAACAAATGTCCTATTCCTGACTTGGTACAAGTAAACCTGGATTTATAGCTAGCTAAACCTCTAAACGTATAACAGTTGTTTATAGTTCTGCACTGTAAAAATCATGCTTCCTAGTCGTACCTCTGGACTCACTCCCTTAAGGAACACTCAAAGCCAAAAAACCCATACCTGGATTCGTCAAGAGTCATACGACCAAATGGAATATAATTGTACTAAGACAAATAAAAGTAAATAAAATGATACACCACGTCAGCACCTAGAATCTATAACTCAAGACTATCCTCTTTTATTGGTGAAGTAGACACTGAATATTTATCTATTAGGTCTTGGTACTTGCCGATGGATTTTTTGAGGAAAAGGACGAGACGTTCTTTGACAAAACCCTGGCTCATTAATTCTTTGCCCAAACACAGATGACGTTTAACAAAGCCTGCGTAGGAGCTGCAAGCTCTTTAAAATTGTATGAGTTGAGAAATGCATACGCGGGTAAAGTTGGATTATTACTGCAAAAAAAAAAGGAAAATTCATAATTCCAAATTTAAAACGTCTCATTTGGCATCGATTCTGGGACTGAGATAACCGATGTAGTCAAATTCGAAGTAAATGCCTAAAAATGAGGCGGAGGAAGCTGTATCATGTGGTTTCTTTAAAATCAAGTTCATGAGGATATATTAATGGGACACAATCAGAAGTTTGGATTGTTAATGGAAAGAACATCATCAATATACCTGTATATAAAATTAAATCTAGCTTCTTTGATATTCTTGTTTTTTACAAGTGTCTGAAGGATCTACGACTCATATGAAAATATGAAAAGGTAAAGAGAGGCGAACTGTTGGTTCCCATAGCAATGACGACAACCTCCAAATTCTACAAATATGTTGTCAATTAGAACCTCAAGATACTGATCACTTCTTCTTTGGTATAGCATGGTTTATCCCCGGGTTCATTTTTTATAAAATATGCCGAATTGTATCCCA